CTATGTGGAGCGTTGTGATTAACTGAGTTTAATCTCTGAGGGCATCTTAATTAAGTGTATTCGAAGGCTTCCTACGCTATAGAATAAAATAGAAGTGTCGGCACTTAATAAGAAATAGGCCCATGACCTGTTGCCGATTCTTGTCCTTTCCGTGACTTGATTCACAAGGGATCCAGTCTTTGGAACCCGATCTTTCCATAACTGACGATTGATTGAGATAGCTGCTGGACTTATTGCCTGGTCCGTAATTTGTTAGGCATTCTAAGACTAAACATATGCTCCTGCACAGCCTCGTCTAGTCTGTTCTTGAAGGCGTTAATACTCGGAGCGTCAACGATGCTATCAGGGAGGCTGTTCCATATGTCGGTGTCTCGAAGCGAGAAGAAATGTTGTCGCGTGGATGTGTTAAACGCTGTTTTTTTAGTTTATAGCCGTGGCCCCTGGTGTTTCTTCTTGTTTCAAATTCTAATAATCCTTCTGCATAGGACCTTGTATAAACCGTGGGTATACTTGTATACTTCAATGAAGTCACCACGCAGACGTCGATAACGGAGGCTTGAAAGCTTCATCATTTTCAATCTTTCTTCATAGGACTTGCCCTTCAAGCCTGGAATTATCCTTGTTGCACATCTTTGAACATTCTCTATTAAATTTCTGTCCTTTTCAAATCTCGGTGACCACACAACGTTTCCAAACTCTAGATTTGAGCGCACGACAGCAACAAACAACTGCTTCATCGCTTCTGCATCTAGGAACTCGTATGAGCGTCTGATTAGTCCAAGAAGTTTGTTGGATGTGTTAGCTTGCGTTTCAACATGCTTAGAAAATTTCAGCTCCTTGTCGACATAAACTCCGAGATGGTGCATTTTTGTGGTATTTTCTTTGCTTTTAAATTCCTGGTATTCCTCACTGTATTATAAACTTTTGTGTCGTCAGCATACATCGAGCACACGCTAGACACAGCTTCTGGCAGATCGTTTATAAACGCAATGAATAAAACAGGTCCGAGAACGCTTCCTTGTGGCACGCCGCTGCTCACTGAAGCCCAGTCTGATACGGTCCCTCCTACTGACACGTTGTCGTCTCCCTACTAGAGAATCTCTGATCCATTTGAGTACATTACTCTCAATTCCCGAAGACTTCAATTTACGCAGCAGCCGCTCGTGTGGGACACAGTCAAATGCCTTAGCAAAATCGAGGTACACTGCATCTACTGGCTCCCTTTCGTCCAGCAGGCGGGTCCATTCGTTCAGAGTAGACAAGAGGCTAGTGGTGCAGGATCTACCGGCAATAAAGCCATGTTGACAGTCTAATAAGAGATCATTAACATTCAAATGATCGATCAATCGATCCCTCACAAAAGATTCCATTACCTTGCAAACGATACTTGTCAAACTGACTGGGCGATAGTTGCCCGGGCATTTTTTGTCACCTTTTTTGAACAATTGTGTCACTTGAGCTTCTTTCCAGGCAGCCGGCAAGATCCCTTTGTTCAAAGTTTTTCAAACAAATGACGTCAAAGGGCCGGTTAGGACGGTTGCTAACTCTCTTAAGTAATCTAGGGTAGAAGCCGTCCGGCCCACGTAACTTGTTGGGATTTGGAGCGATCAGGCGCTTGAGGACTTCTTGTATTTCAAAACTTGTTAATTTAGGGCCGACTGGGCGCTCCTCAATAGCTGGAATACTGTTCAAGAACTCTTCAGTGAATACACACTAAAAAACTGATTAAGAACGTTAGCCTTGCCCTCATCAGAGGATATCTTTCGTTGATCTATTTTCAAATCAGAAATATCGTCCGTTGCCTTGCACTTTGACTGCTAGCGTACAAAAAGAAGGATTTCGGGGTCTTTTTGGCATTTTTAGCAATATTTGTTTCGAAGATTTTTACTGCGGTGCGACAGCTTTCTTTCGAGCTCTGGCGTATAGATTGTAATCTGCATCGTTACGAGTCTGTAAATATCGCTGGTAGGCTTCCTTTTTGGTTCATAATATTATATTCTCTATAAAATGCAAATATTCATTAAAATAAAATATTGAAATATTTTTTGTATTATTAATGATGCATGAATAATTTTTCGGTTATCGGTCTGACCGTACATCTCTCATTCTGTATATATACATTTTTTGTTTCCGTATTCAAAAGATCTTTGACAGTTTTAGCTATTCAGGTTTCCGTGTAAACTTTGTAGCATAGAAAAACTGTAATGTAAATAATTGGTCTTGAGGGCCCTTTAATCTGTTGGTCGGATCCGAATAATATGCACTATTAGTAAAATTTTGACCCATTGGGCCCGTACCCTAACGAAAAACACGAGCATTTTCAGTTGTTATACGATAAGTCTGCTATTACATCCCAAAATCTACCAATTAAAAAGAACCCCCACTGTCTTGTTTAGAGAGCTGACTTCAGACTGAGAGGTTGGTGATCGCGAAAAACAATCCTAGTTACGATTCTGATAGATTATTTTTCATTTCACCTTGATGATGTAAAACCATTTCACCTGCTGTAGAACAGCCAGTCGATCCTAAACTGCTGTGTAGTACTGTTGAGTTTAGGGTATGGGTGGTTCGTTAGGTGTTGGAAGACCAGCGTGAGGGTTTTAGGTAAGAATAGCATTTCTTGCGATTTGTTACCGGTTCAAACGTTTATATGATTTTCCGCAATATTATTTTGAAAGTGTTTGTTCCTATGTTGTGTGTAATTGCGGGTGAAGAATGATGAGTTTTTTGTTTAGTGCTAATTTATAACTAAATGTGCGAGTGTATAAAGTTGCTTCGGTATTATGTTTGCATAAATAGTGTTACGTGAGTGTGTTTGATCCTAGGAATAATTTTAAGTGTTTTGATGGGGAATGAAGTTTCGGTGGCGTTATGTCCGTGTTTTGTTCAGAAGTGTCGCTTTTTTCTAGTGCAGGGTGACCGCCTCTCGGGCAAATTTACGGCCGGACTTGCAGCCGATCTCGTGGCCGGTCTCCAAATTCAGTGAACAAGGAATTTCTCCCAAAGTAATTAATGTAGCTCGATGAAACTTGGTACGCGTATTAATTAGGACCTAACGTTGATGTTTAGCTCGTGAAAATTTTTTAAATTTTGCCTTCATTCGGGAGTTATATGGCGATACGTGCGGAAATTCGCAGTGCGCAATTATATATAGTAGTATAGTATCTTCGGCATTGAAGAATAGGCCTGGATAGCCCTATCGCTATCAACTGCACAAGGCATTTATTCCAAAGTACTGAACAGATTTGAATGAAGTTTTGAATATGCAGTCCTAATATCCAACGGTGTTGTTTAGCTCGTGACATTTTTTTAGATTTTGCCTTCGTTCGCGAGTGTTTTTCCATTTCACCCTCATTCGTGATTTAAACAGCAATGCGTGCTTGAATTCACAGTGAACAAGAAATGCCTTTTAAAATACAGAACAGATTGAACGAAACTTTGTGCATAAATAACTAACCTCTCAACGGTGATGTTTAGTTCGTAGCAATTTTTTAGATTTTATTTTTGTTCGCGAGTTATGCGGATATAATGAGGAACGGCCGGCATTTCTGAGGCCGATTTTTAAATTTGCATTGACCATGAGCTGTATACGTATAGCTATATAACTCGCAAACGAAGACAAAATCGAAAAAATTGTCACGAACTAAACATCACCGTTTGGAGGTTAGGTATTCACATTCAAAGTTTTGTTCAAATCTGTTCCGTAGTTTATGAGGAATTTCTTGCCCACTGCGAATTCAAGCACGTATTGTTGTTTAAATTACGAATGAGGGTGAAACGGGAAAAAATTGTAAACGAAGGCATAATTGAAAAAATAAGGAGCTAAGCAACACCGTTGGATAGTTAAGATTGCATATTCAAAATTTCGTTCAAATCTGTTCAGTACTTTGGAGTTTGGAAGAAATGTATTGTTCACTGCGAATTTCGGCACGTGTCGACATATAATTCACAAATGAAGGCGATATTGAAAAAATTTCACGAGCTAGACATCACCGTTAGGTCCTAATGGACACGTGCACCAAGTTTCTTCGAGCTAAGTTCATTACTTTGGATTTGGAAGATATTCCTAGTTCACTGAATTTGAAAATTGGCCGCAAGAATCAAGTTCGGCCGTAAATTTGTCAGAGATGTGGTCAGGTTGAGTGTCCTGTGATAGTGCTGTTGTAAGCGAAAGCCGAGGTAACTCAACAAGAGCTTTATTCAACAAGAACGCAGCATCCTGGAACAAAATAACACTACTATAAAACAGGAAAACGGTAACGTAATAAGAATATATTCATATGTGAAGGTCTTACACATAACGCAACTATTTACAGAATACTTACAAGGAGAACAGTAGTTGTAGGTCTTGAACGTACAAGAGCCGAGTCAATGCTAACAATGGTCACTAGTTCTAGAATCTAGAGCGAAGTAACTTACTAGTAGGAATTATAGTACGTAATACTAGGTACATGTGGGCGCTACAACAGAAATTTCATGACAAGTGCTTGTTTGTATAAGGCCGTTTTTCTCTGAGGAATAATCTGCGTGGACTAATAGATATTTGAATGGGGTTCGCAGTGAAGGTTACGATTGAAGGAATTAATGTGGCCGGAAACTACGATGGTTCTTGGTCGTATATGTGCATTGCGAAACGTTTCTTTGTGGTTATTATTGACCATGCGGAGTTCTTTTGAGAGTTGAAAAGTAGAGCCCAAGTGAGTGCATTTGGTTATAAATGAGTGCTGTTTCTAATCTTATTGCTGAGTGTTGGCATTCTGAATGCAATGATATGCGCTAAACTTCAGGGAGCTTGATTAAAGAACCGGGAATTTTGTCATAAGCAATGATACGACGCCATACCACTGTCCTGCGCCTTGGACTCGTAGAATATACAGTTCAAGTTAATGCGCATTTCGATCTGCCGGAAAGGCAGGATACCTTTCCGGAGAAAGTCCACGGGAAGTGAATGAGATAACCAAAACTGCGCGGAGCGGTTGTCGAAGAGCAGCTACGTTTCATATCGAGAGACAGTAACACTTGCATCGTCCGACAGTGTTTGGGTGCATCTCAAGGTTCGTTTTAACTCATTTTAACTGATATAATTTTAATCTCTGAGCAATAATCCAATTAAATAATTGCACCAAACTTCGTTCATTTGATCATGCATGATCATTAATGTATAATTAAAGAAACATGATACTCTGCAGATGCGTTTCCTCGCTGCCATCCTCCTGGCTGTGGTCAGCCTGAGCCCTCCCAGCTCCGGCAAAGTTTACAGTCAGTGCGAGCTTGCCAAAGAGCTGAAGTGCGTCTACGGATTTGCTGAGAGCAGTCTCGCCGATTGTAAGTATTAAAATTGATGAAAAGTATTAAATCAGTGAGTAAAACAATTAATTTTCTTACAATATCTTCAAATTGGCAGTTGTATCTCATTTTAATCGTTGGGATTTTAATTAGTTGAAGCTAGTTGCAGCAGCAGCTCTCATCTTGTTCGTGGTAGGGGTGTGCTTGGTTCAACATGCGAGTGCCTACAATACCACAGCTCTTACGGTTAACGGGGGGAGGCCTCGCAGCAGAAACTATGGATTATTCCAGGTGAATAAAACTATTTATCCATAGATCCAACAATGTATTTTCAGGAACGTGTAGAATTAGTGAATACGATTTAAAATCAAAACCTGCAACAGCAGTTTTATTAACACAAGCGACTTAATCGCATGTAACATATGTTAACTTAAGACTTAATCGCATGTAACATATTTCCAAAGTTGATTTTAGTTAGTCTACATTATAACTTTGATATACCAGCTTTTAATTTTAATCAGCGTGGTGAGGACGATAAGGACTTACATGGATGAAATCTTTGTACTGGCCCGTTTAAGTATACGTACTGACCTCAATTTCCTACTGCACGCAGATTACCGACTACTACTGGTGCGAATCTGCCATAGGCACCAACGAATGCAACATCGCCTGCTCGCGTGAGTATATTAGTCTACGAGAATTTAAATAGCGAAGACTCACAACTACGTTTTCTCATTCAATTCTTCACACTTCAGCTTTATACTTGTTTGAATTCTTTTGAAGTATACATTTCATTCAAAAACAGATTATTTTCTTATGTCCATGGATTGATTCAAATATTATTGGGAGGTGTTTTCTGGATTTCAGGTCTGGCAGACGACGACATCGCAGACGACGTCGCGTGTGCAAAGGAGATTTTTCGACGTCAACAATTCAGGGCGTGGAGCGGCTGGCGAAGCTATTGTGAGAATAAAAATTTGTCTTCCTACACACGTGGCTGCAACCTCACTTGCTGATCGCCGTGGCCACCCTTGCTGGAGTGGATGAACCTTTTGTCTTGTCAGCGGCTTGACTCTTTTGCCTTGATACTCGATGAAACGTTTTGCCTCGTTAGCGGCTTTACTCTTTTGCCTCAATACTCGATGAAACTTTTTGCCTCGCTAGCGGCTCGATTCTTCTGCCTCAATACTCGATGAAACTTTTTGCCTCGCTAGCGATTCGATTCTTTTGCCTCAATACTCGATGAAACTTTTTGCCTCGTTGGCGGCTTTACAGATGAAACTTTTTGCCTCGTTAGCGGCTTGACTCTTTTGCCTCAATACTCGATGAAACTTTTTGCCTCGCTAGCGACTCGATTCTTTTGCCTCAATACTCGATGAAACTTTTTGCCTCGTTAGCGGCTCAATTCTTTTGCCTCAATACTCGATGAAACTTTTTGCCTCGCTAGCGGCTCGATTCTTCTGCCTCAATACTCGATGAAACTTTTTGCCTCGTAGCGGCTCGAATCTTTTGCCTCGATACTCGATGAAACTTTTTGCCTCGCTAGCGGCTCGATTCTTCTGCCTCAATACTCGGTGAAACTTTTTGCCTCGTTAGCGGCTCGAATCTTTTGCCTCTATACTCGATGAAATTTTTTGCCTCGCTAGCGGCTCGATTTTTTTGCCTTAATACTCGATGAAACGTTTTGCCTCGTTAGCGGCTCGATTCTTTTTCCTCGATACTCGATGGAACTTTTTGTCTCGTTAGCGGCTCGAATCTTTTGTCTAAATACTCGATGGAACTTTTTGTCTCGCTAGCGGCTCGAATCTTTTGTCTCAATACTCGATGAAACTTTTCCCCTCATTAGCGGCTCGATTCTTTTGCCTCGATACTTGATGAAACTTTTTGCCTCGTTAGCGACTCGACTCTTTTGCCTCGATACTCGATGGAACTTTTTGTCTCGTTAGCGGCCCGACTCTTTTGCCTTCGATGAAATTTTTTGCCACACTGGCGACTGAACGCTTTTGCCTCGATGACTAATGAAATTTTTTCTCGAACGCTTGGTGAACCATTTTGCTTGAACGTTGACGCCTGGTTTGCTCTATGCTTTTACGAGAATATTTATTAGAATATCAAATTAGGTGTGTCACTATTGACAGATTGCTGAGGCAATCAAATCTCTTTTTGCGCTCATGCCTAAGACAACAGCTGTGTGTAAAATTGCATCTGACATTTATTTGATTCTTATTATTCAATGGAACCGGTCAGAATGTTATTTAATGCCAAATAACATATTTACTAATTTCTTTTGGTTCGTTGGAAAGTGAAATTAAAATTTGTTTTCGCAGTATGGTGGGATCCCTGATCTTTTCACATTTTAGTAAATAATTAATTTTGATATCTAATTACGGCTTATTTATATACGGCTTATACTGCCCTTTAATTGATTAATAAATTCTTGCGTATTACCGACTGAATAATTGCATCCACCCCAAACTTACGAACTGCACAACTTTGACAATAAAGAAGGAAATCGTACGTTCAGCTGCTTATTTTTTTTGCAAAATTTTTTAAGATTAGATTTTAATTACATGTAGGAACTGCTTCCCAACTACTTATACTTTCAAAAAATTCATCAAGGTTTTTATTCGAATTTCCTACTTCATGTGTTACTTGTTCGAAGTTATGTAGATACTGATACAGAAAAATAATTCTCGAAAGAATTTGATCCACTCGAAAGAATTTGTAATGATCTTAAACATTTTTTATAAAGATATGTAATATCATCGTTTATATGAACACTAGTATTTCTTAGTCGCCTTGGGTATTCGACTATTCACTCTTGACACTCTGAAGTCACAGCGTTCCATAATCCGGAAAAAATCGAAAAGGGTTTTTATTGCATTAGGAATCTATCGTTATGAACTCAATCTCAAACTCATAAAATCACCCCCATTGTCCTCACTATTTATTTGCATAATATATTCGCTCCGACAGCATGAGGTTCCCGATACCTGAAATAAAACGTAAGTAAATACATTCACCATAGGCCATTGAAGATTCAATGAATGATGAATCAATCGAGTAATTTGACCTTAGCTTCGATAATCGGGAAACATAAAGTGTACGCACAGATCATAAAAAGCATCAAAATTCGTTGTTCAAAAGAAAATTGTTTCAATCGCAATGCAACGTAGATTTTGAATCGTAGATTTCAAGGTTTTCTAGAAGTCAATATTTCAGTACCTTTAGTTGAAAAATAGATTGAAGAGGGAGCTTCAATGATATAACGAATGAATAATAAATAATAATTATTATTTTTACTTCAACATTTAGCCCACCAAGCAGTGCTCAATGTTTCCAGTGAATGTATCTATGTTTAATGATTTCCGGTGCTATAGCTGGAAATCATGACAACCAGTAATTAAATTCCATGGATCCATGCCTGTAGGCTTGATAAAGTTTCTTCTTAATCGTGTCTTCGTAACGAGACTTTTGTCTGTATACCAAGAGATGAAGAGGTGAAATGGTACTCTTTTGCGAGTAGAATTCAATTACGAAAAACTGTGAAACAACTTGAGATTAAATGATCGGATAATCTGATCCAGCCAAGGTGTTAATGTTGTAATTCTTTGCTAGAAGTGGCCAAGATTTTATTTTTATAGCATGCGAATGGATCATCCAGTTTGGTAACTGACGAAGTGGAATCAGATTTTGAATAATAAGTAATATTTAGAAAGTCGGAGGTGAATACTGACAGACTGTGGCGTGAGAGTGGACAACATAAGTACTGCAACCCATCCTGAATGGCCACAGATAGAGAGTGGCGAAACATTGCGGTGTCAAGTCCAAGTTCGCAGCATCCTTTATCACCAACAGTGAGGCGTCGACGGGCTCCCCAGACATGGTGGTGAAAGGATCCGTCTCTGAAGTCCTCTTGAGGTCGTAGCAGAACTGGCCTTGGCTCTGAACCGCCACCAAGTCCTTCAGGACTGTCGGCATTTGCACCAGACGCAGGCCGATGGCCTGGCAGGCAGCCAGTGACTTGCTGAAAATAAAGTCGTGGGCACGCGTGGTAAATGAGGTCGCAATGACAAGTGAGGCCGCAATTTCTTTTAGCCGAGGTGCAGCAGTGAATGTGAGACTATTGGAAGAACGCTGTTATGAAAGAAGTCGACTGGTTCAACGGACATCTGCAGTTTGACGATAAAGAGATTGCTACAGAAGCTTTTTTTTACCATTAAGAAGATTACCTGTATGCGCCTTACTCAAGTCAATGCAACATTTGGCGCTGTCAAGATTCCTGCAAAGCATACTTGACTATTTCTCAGGTAGAGAAGGATATTAATTAGATATTAAATATAAATCTCACTTCACTCACTCGGGCACATCTTTGGCAGGAGGCGGCAGACGGAAGAGGAAGTCGCCGCTGGACAGAGACATGCCCATGAAGTACAGGCCCACAAGGCCAGGCGAGGACCAAGTCTGCCGCACCAACAACACGCAGTTCGGGACCTGTCAGGTTATGGGAACATGTCATGGACAACTGTGACTTCTTCTGCGCTGGTGTTGACTATTGGGGTACAATATTACGGGCAATGGGAACCTTTCACGTTACTCGTAAATGACTCGGTTACCATTAACCATACTATCTCCGTTTATATTGTAACGCAAAATCCTTCCTTGTCCAATACCCGTCGGAGTCACCCAGTAGTCATTTAGGGTATACATGATACCGTAATATACATGATACTGCCCTCAAAGCTTGGGCAAACTGATGTAATATGAGCTGATTTGAATCAGCCAGACCGCCTGACATGTTACGGCTAAGTGGTGAACGGTGGTCTTTATGGCCACCCACCACAGAACTGACAGCCGACGGCTACTGCGTCGAACATTATGGATTGCTCTGCCTCAGCATAACCAACACAATACCTATGATTGAGCTCAACATGAAACAAACCTCGATATATCCTTCACTGTGGCACTGTACCTCACTTGCGATGAAAGCGAAGGCCCCACAATCTGGGTTCAGGCGACACTGTCCCCCACAGGCGATGGGTGAGCCGGCCCACATCCTCTCCTGGTCCCCATTGAAACTATCCTGCGATAACTGGACTGTGTAGGACAGCCCCAAGCCCCCAACAGCATAGAGCCGCGTCAGGGCGCTGACCATCACCAGCAGCCGAGCCGCAGTAGCTGTGCGCCACACCACCATCCACATTGTGGCTGTAACATTACCGAGAAACAGACTGAAAAACCTATGTTCTAGACAAGCAAACTTCTTACTCTAACACGTTGAAAATCCCCTCACTCCTGAAGCCTACTTCTCAAATGCCTCGATCATTTGTAGGGTGGCCCAGTGGTTACAGTTCAGAAGTACCAAGATTGGAGCAGAGAGGCGCGGGTTCGATCCCAGCTCTGTGCGCCAGTTTCTGGTCAGAATCGGCAAGGAGGCCGGGCGGTTAAGCACAGCAGAATTGTAGCAGTGAATTGCGAGTTCAAGACCGCAAAATGCTGTGAATGTTTTGCGATGTTAAGAATCGGCGACAGGCCTTCGACCTACTAAACGCTGAGACCGCTATTATTTGTTTCGACGAAGAACCTGATGCATGCGTCAACGACTGCTGTCTCCCCGTCGTAATAACAGAATATTCAGTTCGTTGTTTATTCAAACTCGTAGCTAATATAAATGTAATATCAAGAGCAATAAGGACAACCACCGTATCATCTGTTTTTCAGGGTATATTTGGTCTCTTCTACAGACACCTTCTATTTGGTATGATAAAAAGCGGTTAAAATTTTAGTTCAGTATGCCTCAAATCTTTATTCAATGTTATTCTATTATAATGCGACTAATTATCCTGTTACAGAAGTTTAAACAAGCCGAAATGAAATTTGGGTAACGACGCAATAATCAGCACGCCTCAGCCAAAAACAATAAATATTTATATTTAAATATGAGTAGGAGAATTGAATATGCTGCCTAAACAAATAACCCCAATAAAGTATGAAGGAAATACTTAGGTAATTTAGAGTTGTATTTGTTCGTTGTTACATGTAGCCTCTGCGTATGAATATATATAGAGTTATTTTTGAATACTTTCAAATTTGTATGTAATGTATTGACAGCATTGTATACACTATGATACAGTATTTCATGTTACACCTGAAACGACAATAAAATTGGGACTTTCACCTCTTTATTCTCCCGTGACACAACTCATCAAGCGGCAAGAGCTGAAGAGTGACTGTCCGAGCTCTTTACTGCGCTCTATATATTATACTTTCCTACGCTCTTTAAACTCTTGTGCTATTGCTGTACACACCGCATAACTGTCAATAAGAGGGCAATTTCTGGAACTTTTGGGTCAATAGTCATTTTCTTGAAACCTCCTTGCATGGATAATTCACGAGTTAAAATACCGCCATGATAAAAAGAGCAAAGAATTTATTTTTCGTGTTCTGATGACGGGAATAAAATTATGAACATTTGAACGAATTCGCCAGCACGGGTCCTGAATGTTTACTTAACGACTCAGGTAAGAATACAACAGCGCAAAACGATCATCAGTTCCCCCTGAATTAGTGATCATACGCGTGCAGTTCATCACCTGCCCAGGATGCCCAGCGCTGCCATATTAATCGACCCTTTGGGTGATTGGTGGTTGATGCGTGAGTGCACCTAATATTGGCAAGTGATTTACGGGATAACGACAAGGGCATTAGGTCATTAGGGCGGCATGGGAGCTTAGTTAAATAAGAACAAATATTCTTACGCTGCTCGATTTTTTTTTAATATTATAAAAATTTAGTATATATATTCGAAATAAAAAATCATCGTTCGCTGACATTCCGTACACAAAACAAGGCCTAACGTCGCACTTAATTTAATCAATCAATTTACTATGTAATATGTTTAATTTTGAAGTCAAATAAATTTTTACTAGAGCCCGTAAGTTAATTCGTATTGCAGTTTCAGCAGATGACATGAAATGTGCGTTTGATTTTGCTAAGGTAACATGAGGGACGCCTGGCAATATGAATATTGGGATATTTACATGAGCTCTTTAGGTAGGAATAGCACTGTAGAATAAATGGCTTGTAAGAACGATTTATATTTACAGAGCTCTTCAGGTAGGAATAGCACTGGCCAGCGCAGTCATCAAGAGACCTGCTGCTACGTATATCGCCTTGATGAGAGAGGGGGGGATGATTGATAGCTGCTCAAGCAGAATTTTATTAGGTTTCAGACTTTCAAAGTCGTTGGTTGTGCTCGGGAATTCTCATTATCATATATCAATGCTATAAATTTTACGAGAGTAATATGAAGGTATTGGAAAATTTAAACAACTTGACGAATTTCTTGATGCAGTTCCATAAGTTATTCGTAACGCAATTTGAACGTATCGGTCTACATTCTTCATATCAACGAGGTTAATTAGAATGAATTCCAAAAATTATCCTAATGATAAATAAAATTACGAAAAATAAAACTTAGTAATTTAAAGTGTGGCCGTTTGGCTCGTATATATACCCTATCGAAATTCGAAGACCTGTCAGCTGCTGGCACACGGACGCCCCAAATTCTTATGACAGGGTAAATTAGAAGCTCTATGTCCGCTTTAGGTTCCGGTTGCCGTAGCAAAATAAGCGCCGAAATGGAATCTTGTGTAACTACTCATCGAGCTTGGGGCGATCGTGGGGCNCGTGCCGCAACGACGGAGCGGTTCCAATATTCTTCTTCGGTTGGCTTCTTCTCGGTGATATATATCGCGGTCGGCTGAAGTTGTCTGAAGAGACGTCGTGACTCAAGAAAATAACGAACACCACAGTGTTTCTAAACACTCACTGTTTGGTCCGAAATACGTGCTGCAACGACGGAGCGGTTCCAATATTCTTCTTCGGTTGGCTTCTTCTCGGTGATATATATCGCGGTCGGCTGAAGTTGTCTGAAGAGACGTCGTGACTCGGGAAAATAACGAACACCACTATTGTTGCTAAACATTCACTGTTGGTCCGTCTCTCTCTAACACCGCCGCGCGACTGACTGCAGGGTTGCCAGATGGAGCCAAGAGAAAAAGGCCAATTTTACTCACAAAAAAGGCCCAAAAAGGCCCCATTTGAAATTAATTCAAAATTTTTAAATTTAAGGTAGTTCTAACCATTTGCAGTGCGCGCATTTACTCTCAAGGCTTTCAGACAGCAAAAAATACATCAATTTCATCACGTGTATGAGCTGAATTACCGTCAATGCTACATAAGCAGCCAGCCTGCAGCGAATTGCACGTTACTCGCCGACCGTAAATAAAACCGTATAATACATGATATTGAGGATTCAATTGCCACCTAACAACCATAAAGCTTTTCGTTCGCGTTAGAGAGTTTGGGCTCAGTTTTGCTATTTTGCTAACAAAATAGATAGTAAAGTGGTAGGCGACATAAGTGATTTTGTGCACCAATTTTGTGCACCAATAAGCCCTGAATCGAACGCCTTGGATATCTCCGTACATCCACCAATCAGCCGTGAACCACTCGGCTTTGTCTTCCTCCGGCCTTGCATAGAACCTGCCGTGCACCACCAGGCCGCGGATCGAATCTGACTTCCGGGCATCGTTAAATTACGTAATTTTACGTTCACCGCATCTGTGGTTAGGTTTCAGATAGCATATAGTTCTGTTCCAAAATTTATCGTCTTTCGACAAGTGGCCGTTCGACCGAGGGCTGGTTCAACCTACGGCCTAGATACGGACGGCTTCAAGTGATGAAGGCGACGTTCCGGAAGGCAGGAATCATGATGGTCCATTACATCCAGGGCAGTAGTAGTCTTCGGCAGGCGACCCATTTCATGTGGCGAAGTTTTTGACATGTTGGCATTGACGGTAGAATATTTATACTCTGAATATGAAAAAATTTAAACTCATTTCTGCGGTATAGAGATGATGTGGTCCTTGCAAGACTAATCTAAATATTAAAAGTTAATCCTATAAATTTATCACAACTTTTGAATGCGCAGGAAAATAATATATTGCCTATCATTACTTGCATAGGAAATAAAATTTATTTGTTCGAAGTGATATCTTGAAGTGACTCACACCAGACAGCTGAATATATCGAAAAGCTGTGCTGTAACCTCAAAAAATAGTGCCAAATGTACTGCTCTTTAGAAGTGAAAACTATACTCGATTATACGCTCTGTCTGCTCTGCCGTCCATGGTTCTTGATTAATACGAGTCGGCAATTGGATATAGTCCCATGGTTCAACCAAAGTGTTGCCCAGATTAACGTCTCGGACGAATTTACGTCCCAGACGTGGCGGCACTCGCTAGTGTTGCCACCTAAACCGAAGTGTTGACACAGTTTCGTGTCAAAATTTGAGTGTACTCGTCTTTGGCAAAACTGAATTTGGGTGCACTCGTCTTGGATAAAATTGAAGGACCAAATTATCATAAAAAACCGAGAGTTACGTTTTTCATAAAAAAAGGCCCAAAACGGACAAAAAGGCCAAATGAAATTTTTCAGGCCAATGCATTTCAAAAAAGGCCACATTTGCGAAATTTGGCCGGAAAAAGGCCCATCTGGCAACACTGACTGACTGCGGTGGCCCGCTCGCTCCTGTTAAATACTCCCCCGGTCCCGCGCATGCGTGCTAGGCGGCTCGAGCTCCACCCCTTAATTCAAACTCCGCATCTAAACCCCCAAATCCCCCTATTCTTATCTTATTTATTCCTATTCCTATTCCTAATCACACAGTACTCTATCCCGTGACTGCCAGCGTGCTACCTTGACGGCAGAGGGCAGGGTGGCTCAGTAGTTACAGTTCAGAGTACCAGGATGGAGTACCAGGATTGGAGCAGTGACTTGGTTCGATCCTATAGCTACCTGCGACAACTCTGGTCAACATCTGATTGTGGCCGAGCGGTTTTGAAGCAGTGAATTGCGTGTTCGAGATCTGCAACAAGCTGTAAAAATTCTGCGATGTGTAAAATCACCTGCTGGTCTAGCGGCCTAATCAACGGTACTACTGCTACTACAATAGCGACCACGACCATCTCGCACGGCGGGGTGGATAGCTAGAGGTCCGCATAGCCCAAGTCCACAGTGCGATTCATATACCTTCCCGAGCGTAACGCAGCCGGGCATCCTCACGGCTTTTGACACAAAGCGTCCACCACAACAGCGCCGTTCAGTCACAGGCCGGAGCTCATACAGGCCGGAGCACAACTGGCCGGAGCGCAGCAGGCCCTACCGCAACAGCTACTCCTAACGTAACTTAACCTAACCTAACCTGCGCCGCCTGTTGCGGTAGGGCCTGTTGCGCTCCGGCCAATTGTGCTCCGGTGCTGTGGAGCAGTGGTTGTGTTGTGCAAAGCGGATTTACTATTAGCCGGAATTACCCACAGCTCATTGTTCTGAGGCTGTGTAGATATTGCATGCTGATGGTTGGCGTTGGGCCCAGGGCCTGTTTACGAGTCAATTTTGTTACCCACGGCTGCGCTCCCGCAAGGCGTCAGGGCACTTACTGTCGATGCAGAGCTGAGCGCAGGTGTCGGTAGTGGTCCTAGTCAGCACCAGCTTGTGGTGGTCACTGCCCAGTCCCTGGTTGCTGTGCTTCACGAAGCTCGACTTACTCTGCTCTGCTCAGGACAACGTGTGGCACTCAATATCAAGGTGCATGCTAGCTTATTGGGAGTCTTAGTAATTATGATACTGTATTATGCCTTGACATATGTGTCAGGCATAAAAATGCCATGATTGTTCAAAAATTTCAACAAAAACGGTGTTAACTAATATAAACATAAATGCGACAGTCCTATACAAACGCAATTGAATGTCCAGAAATCATTTTCAAGTGTTTATAACTTGTAAATAAAATATATGTTCTCTTAATTTGAAGTTATATTTATGAAGATTGAACAATAACTCACTAGAGAAGAGTGAACATTGTGAGTGAGGAGAGTAGTTCGCCTCCTCTCCCGCGCCGAGGTAGGCTTCCTCGTGTAGCTGGCATTCCCCGTTGAAGCAAAGATTGAAACTACGACACGTGATGGATGTTTCGATGGAGCACAGCCTGTACGGTGAGCCCAAACAGGTCGACACGTCAATAGTTAACATGATTAATGTGAGTTTTGGAGTCTATACATTCAAGTGCTTTAAACTAACTTCTATAGCTGCCTTTTACAACTGAAAATATGCATCACTGTTTAGAAACCAAATACAAGCATCAAAATTTATCATCGTTCTATAAAACATGATGTATTTAATGAAACATCAATTTTTCGAAATTGTAAAATGTAAGGTTCAAGTATTTCGGTTGGTTTTCTCTCGAATAATGAGATGCAAGTAAGTGCATAGTGCGTCAAACGCTATATTATCAAAGTGCGTTATGTTATATTCAAACCCCACCATAGTGCATATTCATGATATTGCACGTCTTATTCAAACACTTTTTTAGAATTCGTTAAAAACCATAAGGCGAAAGATTTATTCCTATATGGCAAACTAAATTCTAGCACCCTTTAGTGTTGAGTCATATATTAGGAGTTCTTCGACGTCCAGAGTTTCACTTTACATAAAGATTTTACTTAATTTAAATAATTAACTGTAAACATTTCCCACAAGAAAGTGTTTCCCGTTACCTGGCGCAGGCCTCGAAGCTGGCCACATTGGGGTAGACCGGCCCGCTCGAGTTGAGCGACACCCTGCCCGGCACCGGCAGGTACTCCGTCATATATGACTCTGCCAGAGATTAATATTACGTTTATGTTATATAATTTATATATTACAATCTGAGGATCTAATTCACACAAGACACAATGAGTGAGGACGTGCCTATGCGGACAATGGAATGGAGGAGGTACGTTCATCCGCTTTCATTGCAGGTTGTTTGGTTGCAAGGACCTAGAGTATTACCGTGTATTACGTTGGGGTGCAGCTGTGCATGTCATGTGTACTTACGGTTTTGGCGTTCAAATATGATGATTTTAATTATTTTACTTAAATGGTATGGTTAAGGCGCGCCTCAATTTCATGAGCTCAAGCAAATTAATAATTTTTGGGAGTGTCTTATCAGCTGAGCAAAGCTAATGGGTAATATAATGGGGTAACTACTTTATTACACGCATAAACAATTTCCCATATTCAAATCTAAAAAGAATCAAGCATAAACGATTATATGTGACTTCGCTGAAGAATATATCGAATTAAAGTACTGGATTCACATCCACACGCACTCGTTAGGACGTCGGAGTGACTGAATGTCTGCGTGCCGGATGCGTCCATTTCGTCGGCGTGCAGGGCAGAAGTGCGGCAGTCACCCGTCGTCCACGTGTAGGAGAGACTAGCGCAGGTATACTCCTGGATGTTCAGACACAGCGCCTCACACTCCAGCAACGTACTAACCTGCGTAAGAATATCATAAGACCATCTGGTGACTTCATGCACAGTATATTTGAATTTCAATAACATAGATGTCTTTAGCAGAATTTGACCGCAAATACGCTGTTTGTGCAGAAGCACAAAAAGTTGTAGCATGGAAAAGTACAGTAGAACTAAGGGAATGTGTTAAACTTCAAACAATTCATTAATTGGTCTCTATTCCAAGTTCTCTGAGTACCGAGGAACAGTTTTAAAAAAGATCATTACCCTTAAAGTCATCGCCAGGATTCTGTGTTTGAAAGAGGAGTTTTAACAGAGAATATTACCTACCTTTGATAGTCTCTATGTCGTTGGTCTGCTCAAATCGCAAGTTCACCAAAAATTTAAAAGCAAAGAAAACTCCGAATATATTCATCATATCTTCAATGACAACGAGTCGCGGACGGATGTTGGTAGTAGGAAAACTATTTATTGTACTTTCCCATATATGTCTGTAGGACTGTAGCTCGTCTGAAGCAATGTCCAGAGAATTGGAAATCTTACTTCTGAAATATTTCGTGAATGTTAACTTGGATATTTTACTGGTGAATAATTTCCAAATTGGTTTTATCTTCAGGTAAAAGACAATATCCCTGCTCGAATGCGGTCTATTCTGGTTCATGAATGGAGTTGTGCGCGTTACGCATCGACGTACGTCGGAATGACATCACGTAATTTCTCTGCATCTATGTTTCTGAACACCGCGGCCGGAGTTTTCGTTCGAACCTACCACTTTTCATGCCCTCTCACTCTTTTTTGCGACTTCACGTTGAACAGTGCGACGTGACTGTGACTGAGAGTGATTCAAAGATATCTCATCCTCTTTCTTAATTTCTTATACTCTTTCTTAATTTTTTATCCTCTTTCTTAATTTCTTATCCTCTTTAAATTACAAGTAGAATGTTTTTTCGGTTTTGTTTGACATTTTCTCATTACTTAGGTTTTAATCTCTTTCGTGTGTATTATGATTCTCACTATGGATTGAACTTGTATTTTATAATTTTTTAACTGGCAATGGAGCTCTTCGCAGGAACGATTTCATTAAAGATATAGCGAATATACTTGGCGTTGTCTTTGCTTTTAAATTCTGGGTCACCACTAACAGCAATTTTCATGTTTCTGAGCATCATCAATACAGTCCTCTACATATCACCCCCCACCAAGTGAAATCCATTTCACTTAAAAACTTGCATTTAGTAAATTTAACAATCTGTACATATATATTAAATTTCACATTTTGTTATAACCCTAAATAAGTAATCTTACCAGTTAGCTCTCACGTATTTACAAACGTTTTTAACAAACCAAGAACACTAAGAAAGACCACGTTTTGAGTTTTGACTGACAGTATTACCCCTTGAATGTCGTTGTCTGGTTTAGCAAGCCTGTAGTGCCGAGCGAACGTTGTGAACTGACGAGAAATAGCGTCCATTGGGTCAGGGTTGTTGTACAGGAACGCTTCGCTCGCATTCATTCCTACGTCTCCACCCTGAAAATGAAGGAAATGGTTAATAGCTGTCTGTATCACATGAAATAATTAAATTAAAAAAATTTCCATATAGGAATATTATTTACTGTCAAGTTGTATAATCTGTTAATAACTGCCAATTCGTAAAATTCCATCTCAAAATCACAAATATTTGTTGAACAAATGCTGGTACTCCACTTATATGTCAATTGAAATATGTCAATATGCATAAATATGAATTTATATGTCAATTGAAACATCATCCAGCTCATATAAGTTAGTTAATACTCGCTATGTGGCAATCCTCATTAAAAGGATGATCAGCCACTATCGCATAAAAGCTATCAAACTACAAATTTATATTCACTCATTCGTGTACTTGCTTGAAATGCAAGGTAATAATTCAAAAAGTTGTGATTTTAAAACGGAGGTCAATAAATTTTAATCTATTTTAAATTCTTTCGCTATAACTTCTTGACAGGTCCCGATAGATCTCTAAATATTTAAATAACAATTTGTATTTTTTGTTTAACTAAATTGCATTCATTCGGATGATTTTAATCAGGATGTAGACTTCATACGGTGAAAGTTAAGCTGCAATCCTATGAATGTAGGAGCGTAACAAATTGCCAAGAACAAAAATTGGCAGCGCCTAAAATTGCCAAATTGGCACTTTTTCCATAACATAACATAGTGATGTCCGCGCTGCAGTGTAGGCCTGATGTGGCCTGTCGCCAATTCTTTTCCTTTTCGTGCCTTGTTCACAGAAGATCTAAACTCGTGTCATTTGACCGGATCTTTTCACGACTGACGATAGTTTGAAATAGCTACCAGACTTCCACCGGGTTCGATTACATTCCATTCATACATTCCATTACACTGACTAACCTCATGAGTGTGGAGAGTGAGCGTAAATTTATCGTCGATAACGGCTTCTATTATCTTGTGGTAAGCCTGTTCGGTTGGCAGGTCCACGAAGGAGATATTTTCGAGGCTGAGAACCCAATGCTCACAAGACTGGACGCCGGGGACTGGCTCACCGTCCTGATCAACAGTCTTACTGAGGTAGCAGTCACTATCGTCGCATACCTGGAATGATCTGTAGACAACATCGTTTGGGTTTCAATTCAATTTTCCGTTCATGTTTTTCAGAATTTATAATACTCGTCTAGGAGTTAAGCAGCTGCATAGTTTTGTGTGTATAAGTTTGGGTACGTTTATACTCGTATTGTTTACTTGTTTTGCTGCAAAGATTCTTGTAGACACTAGAATCACATGCTTGGAAGCAAATCGTAATATATTTTAACAGTTTGTTTATTCAAAAATCTGATGACATGTCAGTTGAGAGCCGAACAGGCTTCCAGTGTTAGGTTTTAGTTTAATAATAGAGAAATGCAGATTTCATTCAGAAACTACAAGCATTCATTGTGTGAGTACATAGAAGTGCCATACAAAATGCAATCTTAGCATATGGAGATGAATCCATTCTTTAGAATGTTTTTGGAAGGGATGTATTTTTAACTTCTCACGCTATCTGATTTATTCCAAGTCAACGTTTATGTTCGCTGGTTAGTTTCACATAAAATTGTACAGTTTTCAGAAACAAACTCACTTGCACTCGTAGTCATCGTTCAGTGAACAGAATTCGGCGCACTCTTCTTTGCTTGAAATTCCGCTTAATTTTTCCTCGTTGACGCCCGGAAGAGATGGCGTCTCCGTATCTTTTCTGAGAAGAAATCCATCGGTCTTTTGTTATTAGCAAGGGCAAGTAATGAAGCTTTAACCTATTAAAAAAATTTTTATCATATTACGGACTTTTTAATTTTAACTTGAAGTTATTTAGTGCAATACGCAGCCAGAATTCACAATTCAAAGTTGAAATAAGGTCAACCTGGAAATTTATTTAATATATTCATTCATATTTACTTACATTTTCATCAAGGAATACAAATGACAAGCTTTTAACAAATGGAGAGAATCTTGTCATCGTGACCCATGTCGTAAGTAACTGCAAGCGCGAGGTTTTTTGGGTCCTGAGATGCTCGTAGTATTTGCACACAATTGCCCATATGGAGCGTGAAGATCAGGAATAGTGATATGGAACGACATATTTATCATATAAATAATAATTCTCTACTAAAATGTTACTTACTCATAAGAAAATATGTAGGGAACTCTTTCCAAGTGCCAACCTTCTCCTAAAATGTTACTTACTCATAAGAAAATATGTAGGGAACTCTTTCCAAGTGCCAACCTTCTCCTAAAATGTTACTTACTCATAAGAAAATATGTACGGAACTCTTTCCAAGTGCCAACCCTCTCTTAAAATATTACTTACTCATAAGAAAATATGTACGGAACTCTTTCCATGAGCCGCACCGACACCAGCATGACTGTTGAGTCTGTATAGTTGGGGCTGGGGCTTGGTTCGTTCAGGCCGTCCGTGATCTACGGCAGCGATAGAAATAGTCATGAATTTATTGAATTGTGAACTATAACAATAGTTCTTACTCATACAATGAACTGAACACGAACTTATCGAAATACACGACATTTTTCATTCAAACTACTGTGTCATTCTGTATTTTTCTTTTCTGTATTCTGTATTAATTCTTTATTTTTCATTCTGTATTCATGTGACATTTTTTGTCGTGAGTTCATGTGTCGAACAAAAAATGTATCAAATGCCCAAGCAGAGTGAAGATTATGTCATAATTGAATTTACAGGATTACAGTTGTCTTGATGACATAATTCTGGAAATTATTAATTGACATTTTCGAAATATTAGTTAACATATCCCCGAAATTCTTTTAATCAGAAACATTCAATAAATTAGTAACACCATTAAAAATTATACAACTGTAGTTGTATAGTAAAATAATTAATATGTATAATGTACTATATCCACACGTATAGCTATAAATTGTATAAAATCGTGTTTCTTTGAATAACTCAGGGCCTATACTTTCAAAAAAAGTTAAGAGATCGTAAGTCCATCAGCCAGTCATTGACGGTCTTTCAGGCAAAATCCACCAATCATAGACAAGAAAGTAGAGCGTAAGTACTTACGTTCACTTAGCGAGTTTTGAAAGTATGGCCCCTGCACTATAACAAATACTTACGTCAATGTCCGCTATGCGTACAGGGGAAATCTGTCCATAAGTCATGACTTGGTAGTAGACCTGGTGCACGATCTGGTCCGTGGCCTCCTGTGCTGCCGCGTGCTGAGTTGCTGTAGCAAAAATAATCGAAAGATCTAATTAATCTATATATTAATTATTAATTTAATAATTATTTAATCTAATAATCTAAAAAATCCAATTAATCTAATATTAATTAATTAATTAATAATTAATTAATCTAATAATCTAAAAGATCTAAATAATCTAATTAGTTAAAAATAATTTGGAAGAAATCTCACTGCACTATGATAGAAAACTGTCTTTTCGTGGGCACAGGCTACAATTATATCAAGTGGTTCGAAAGATCATGATGCATATTAGCACATTGATGAATTACTGAAAAGCAATTATTATTAATTGCCTATTAATTATTATTAGCCCAAATTATCTTATTTTCTAATGATCTTAAATTCTATCATGTTATTTTTAAGCTCATACTGCATAGTTGCATCCATGGATGAATTTTTGAGTAACAATTAGACTAAATTGCGTTGAAAACTTCCTGCGGACCATTCATCTTCTAAGCATTCAGCTTATTTTTTATAGTAATCTTATAAGTGAAGGGTTTATAAATAATTATATCGTGATATATGTTGTTATTTCTCACGGTCAGTGAGGAAGAGAAGCACGAGGTACGATACGTCGAAGTCGCGCTGCTCGGCACACTCGTACACGCTGAACTCGTCGGGCGTGTAGCGTCTGATGGCGCTGTAGTCGTACACGTTCACACTCATCATGTGGTCAATCTATGATAAGTACGAGTATTTTATTAGAAGTATCGGAGCTCATTAAATTTAACGGATTCTAATGCTTAGATATGAGTAAATCTTTTCATTCGACTAATATTTATTCTCAAAAATAATGTGAATATTATATGTATTACAATTACATAGATTGTTTTTTAATCATTAAAAGTAGGTCCATTACACGAAACAAGTGAAATTTTTTTGTTTTTCATGGAGCTGAAGATCCACTAAATTTGCACGATATCAAACATGAAATTGTCAGAAATGCCTGATATTTGCCTGAAATCCAAAGTATGACTAAATTTACAACAGTTTGTGATTCCGGCCTTCACACAATTTAATTCGATTAACCCGAAAATGTTATTTGAAATGTTCTTCAAGGAAAAACTGTAAGAGAACCTATTAAATTGGGATCGCTCAGGCCGCTCCGAGGGTTGCTGGGGAATAATACGCTTCAAAATTAAATCAAAGGATAATATAAAAATGTTTGTTAAAATTTGCAGGGCTGCATGTTTTAGCTTACCATGTCTGCCTTTTCGTTGTTGTACAGGAATAGATTGGAGCGAACTGGGGCGAAGGCGCTGTAGGAACTTCGCTCCAGCTGCTCCGAGGGTTGCTGGGGAATAATACACTTCAAAATTAAGAAATCAAAGGAAAAATTTATATTGTTTGTTAAAATTTGCAAGTATGCATGTTTTCCCGCCAAATATTCTGTGTTATAAATTATTTAATCAAATTGAAATATTGGAGAGTAATATTAATGTTAAAGAAATTCTTCCAAAAACTTTGCGTACTGTCGCTAACTTTTGTCAGCAGGAATTTAGGTGCTCTTATCATATATTCAAACCTGAAGCATATATATGTATGTATCGATAAGATAATATGTCCTCTAATTTTATCATGATTATTAACCTATCTGAGTTGTTGCGGGTCGTATAATACAGTATAATGATGAGATGACGGCAGGTCAATAAAGTCATAATTTAAACAATGGATCAAATACAAATCTCCAAATATATTGTTAGCAAATGTGCAAACTAAATAATCAAATGACCACGGATTCATTTAGTCCAAAAGCTATTAGCATGGCTGGCGACAGAAGTCAATGGTCCGCAGCACGCGCTTGGTGTTCAGTAGTAAGGCAAAAGTAATTTTTTCATAGCTAATTTGTGCAAGTTGAACCTGCACGGCAGATCAGATCTTAATAAAAATAAAAATATTTGTATAATAATAACTGTTATACAAATTATTTTTTAAATATATTTTTGAAAAGTGTAAAGCTTTGAACTAAACTTAATAGCTTTTTAAACACTGAGGCAACGCTAGTACAAGAATTTATTAATTCAACTTACGAGTAGGAATTCCCACTCAAGAACTGCTTTGTTGAGCGTGGTGCCCGAAATATAATCGTATATTCCATGTCTCGTGGTGGTCCAGCGATGGTCCTCCATGTGGCGGTCAACATCGGGCCCGAGGTAAGAGAAGTTGCCCAGCATGTTCAGGAATCCATTGGGACTGACCATCTCTCCTGAACCTCCAAAAATGCCGTCTGAAATAAATGCGTAAACTTTCATTGTTTCCTCAATAATCCAAGACTTCTGTAATAATCGGGTAATTATGATATGTAATGTAATATAATAATATTGGATTTGTTATTTATATGTAATATTATAATATAATGGTAATATTTGTAATATTTCTAAATTTTTATAAATTCCATATTAAAGTTTCACTGACAAAAAAATAGATCTGATAAATAGTGTATATAATATGTGCTAATTATACATAAATGCTCCGGCAACGAATACTGTAGCGCTCGATAATGCACACCAGCCAGACACTTAACTTTTGTTAACTAAACGTGCCGGTGAGGTCAATGCAATGCTGTAAATCAATGGAAGTAACTCTAAAATGTTAAAATTTTACTTGAACAGCGCATTTTATACGCATCTTGTATTAAAAAAATATAACTCAGTGCTCACTGCAGTGAGTGACAGAACGCGCATTTTCTCAAAATCGACGAAAACGTAAAGTCACAGACAGACAGACAGACGGACGGGCAGACGGACGGACATGACGAGCACAATAACGCCTTTTTTCCATAAATGGGAAAATGCGCTAAAACTGGGAAAATTTATCAAATTACAAACTATCATACCTATAATAAATTCGTGAATTTTGTAGGAGTATATTGAGTGTATTTGTTTCAAAATTAATTTGCTAAAGTTATAAACTATATAGGTACGCATCTAAACATACGCACCTAATGTGTGTATGTTTCAAAATTTTATCGAATTTTGAAGTCACATTAATTTTGTTTTACTTGCATTCTTAAACACTTGAAATTAATCGGGCGATTATTACACAGCAAATCAAGGGCCATATTTGGAATTTAGTTAACATAAATCACTAGTTTTAAATAAATCAAATCAATATTTATTATTACTAAAGACAAAAGAGAAGATAACTCCTCAATTCAGTCTCATATTTGTCAACGATGAATGCCACAAATGAGTCTATCGATTTGTCGATAATGCATCACGTTATTCATTTCTTTATTGTCAACTAAATTAGGGTATATCTTACTGTGGAAATGCAGATGTAGATGATTTAGGTTCTTGTTGTATCCGGGTGTGAGTAACCCTTGCAGTCAATCTAAATTTATCGCTTCAGTGATATCAAAATTTATATTTCGACACCGCAAACAAAATTTATTCTCAACTCCATCATTTTCCATGCTTGCAAGGAACTGAAGCGAGTAAAGTCTATACCGGTATCTTACTTACGATTATGCGAGTGATGAGATACCAAAGATGTCCTAGAACAGTTTCCGTTCACTTTGTCGATGAGATACTGCACGCCTGAAAAATAACGGAACATGTATCATTAGTCCGCGGAACATATTAGTCCGCGGAACATATATCATTAGTCCGCGGAACATATATCATTAGTCCGCGGAACATATAGCATTAGTCCGCGGAACATATAGCATTAGTCCGCGGAACATATATCATTAGTCCGCGGAACATATAGCATTAGTCCGCGGAACATATATCATTAGTCCGCGGAACATATATCATTAGTCCGTGGAACATATATCATTAGTCCGCGGAACATGTATCATTAGTCCGCGAACATAAATCATTAAATTGCAGTTCATCAATATTTTAAAAGCAAAGAAAACGAAAAGACTTGGTAAAATGTTTTCATAAAAATATATCAAATTTGCTTAACAAACGTGTCATGCTTAAGGGGCATAGAGAACAGTTTCGATGTGTCCATGTTAAGAACTTTTTAAACGCATTACTTCGTCCATCTTTAGTAGCTGACTCTTTGTGTTGCAGTCATTTAAGCCTGGCATGGAAAATTTATATCTCGTCCGGTCACGTATAATCTCACTTTCTCTCATTTAAATTAGAATTTGTTTATAATCAATTTTAATTTAATTGTTGTAATTTTAATAAATGGTTTCTTTTTAGTTACAGTTTGGCAGAAGCACAAATGCGTGTCAATTATTCTCTCTTCGAAATATCACCAGCTCGGAATTCCTATACTACGTAAGGCATGAAGATCTTCCAATAAATATTTTTTTTTAACGCAAGGCTTGAAGACTTTCCGACACCTCATTTTTCTAAATTCGGATATAACTAATTAATGACATTGAGTAAGGCATGCTATCTATAAATGTTTACCATTTGAATGATATTTAAATGTTTGCCATTTAAAAATTGCCAGGTTTTGTTCAAATTTGCTCGAAACTGGGCGAGTGTGTAGCTTGCCTGTGTTATAATCCAATATAATTTTGAAACTTTATATAAATGACCAATATAATATAATATATATTTTCCAATATAATATAATCCAATATAATTTTGAAACTGGGCGAGTGTGTATCTTACCTGTGTTATAATCCAATATAATTTTGAAACTTTATATAAATGACCAATATAATATAATATATATTTTCCAATATAATATAATCCAATATAATTTTGAAACTGGGCGAGTGTGTATCTTACCTGTGTTATAATCCAATATAATTTTGACGGGGTCCTGGTTCCCGAAGACAGTTTCATCGGCATTAGAGGGAATAAAGTCCATTCTTATCAGCGACATGTCAGCGCTGTAGTAGGCCTGGAACACATGTTCGGATTAGTTATGTCTCGTCCTGCATTTTAATAAATTAGTTCGAATGTCATAGAACAAAGTTTAAAATTTTATCTCATTTCAAGCAGAAATGTTGTGTAATCATAACACAAATTAGGACTGTGAATAGAGGTAGAATCCAGATTTTAGACTCTCTATGCAATCGAATTCTCGATTAAATGATTTGTATAAACTTCAAAATATCATCCATTTTCCCTAGACTCTGAATTAACTAGAGTATTTTTTACAATGCTACCACAACATAAATATATAACAATACAATGCTACCACAGCTACAATGCTACCACAACATAAATATATAAAAATACAATGCTACCACAGCTACAATGCTACCACAACATAATTAAACAAAAATACAATGCTACCACAGCTACAATGCTACCACAACATAATTATACAAAAATACAATGCTACCACAGCTACAATGCTACCACAACATAAATATATAAAAATACAATGCTACCACAACAATTTGCTAGAGTATTATTCACAAAGTAACCACAAACTCTGTCGTTTACAAACCTTGGAGTAATCAATCTTCTGGGTGCCGTTCTGCACCCCCTCGATGCTGGGATTGTACACCACCTCTTGGTGGAAGGAGTAGTGCTCGGGCATGGTGGGTAGGTTAAAACCTTCCAGCAGCGATGTTACGTTCTCGCAGTCAGAACCGCGGGGGGTCTAAAAAACAAATAATTATTCCGCACTGATCAGAAATCTATGTGATCCTTAATGGTAATAGTTAGTTCAATCCGTATCACACCTTAATTCATGCGATCCATAATGGCAATAGTTAGTTCAATTCGTATCACACCTTAATTCATGTGATCCATAATGGTAATAGTTAGTTCAATTAATATCACACTTTCTACATTCGGTTTTTCTGAAGCTGTCAATAATTGCATAGACAGAAATACTTAAACTATCGAGCATCTTTGTGTAAAATGAGTAATGTCAGTCATCGTAAACAGTGAGATTGTCTTACCTCCAGGAAGCTGTGGTCTACGACGAAAGGGACGAACATGAGTATATTGTACTCAATGTGACTGGTTGCATCCATTTTCCTGAAATTTATGGTTAAATCATATTTGAAATTGGGATAATGTAAGTATTATATGCAGTTTTGCAAGTGCGTTTAAATATTTTTTCATAGGTGAATGAGATGTGATATTACTAATTCAAAATGTTCGGAATAACCATATTTTCCAGAAATTTTGAATTATCATTAATAATGATCTGGCTAAGAGTTCAGCAATACTAAAGTTACTCTGCAGCTGCATAAGCAATTTTAATCCAGGAAATTTTAATGTGCGCATAAGAAATGAGCTAAAAGCCTTCAGAGCAGCCATTTTCCCGGAGTATAAGTACACTCATTATAGTTCAGCTTGTGTTTTGATGAACAGCTTACTGTGTGCAAGATATACTGAACACTCTACCGCCGTATGTCACTCTCCGGGAACAAAACTTTCAACTTATATTATACGTAAACTATTGAGTGTAGTAACCTGAGTATTGCTCCGGTTACTCATGTCAGGCGGTAGAAGGTTAAATAATGATCAGTATAAACATGACCGACCTGACGCTGTAGTGAACAGGGAAGGCCAAGTTGCCGCTGCCGAAGTAAGGCGCGTCGGGCATCGAGACATTGGGGGCTGGGGAGAAACCAATTTTGTAACTTGATTTTTAGAAAAGTTTACTATTTATATCTCAAATAAAATGAATAAAGGAAGAAATCTGTACTACTTTTAGTTTATTTAAGATTTAACATAATTTCACACAATTACACCATTTCACGTGAACACAGTTATTTACAGGAGTTAAAGAACTCGATAGCTCTAGTAAAAATCATTATAAAATTTACCCATTTTTTAACTAAATTTGTGTAAAATATAATGACAATATGTTCAGGCGCCGGTTCTTAAATTAAATCATGGTGCATAAACTATAATTTGTATGTTTTAAGCAAGATTCTCTCGCACCTGAATAGAAGTAATGTAGCTCTCGGTCGCCGTCGCCGGCGCACGCCTTCCAGCCCTCACACATGACATCGTTGCGAAACTCGGCTGCTGTTGTGAACTTTTCCTATGAAGTTAGAGTGATGCCAAAAAATATTCTTTTAGTCATTGGTTATATTTACTGAAAAAACTACAATCAATTAAAAAATAAATTTCACGCAAATGCATAATGACATTAAAGAAAAATTGACTTCAACTACGTACATCGGTCTATCACTCGGTTACCGTTGTCTTATTATAACAGCACCAGAAAATTCGGTATTTATATAATATGTATCTCTTCTCTCAAGGTTCACTACAAGTAAAGAACAAGCATAACATCGAAATGTGTGCTATCGATGTATGTTTAGTTCATATTATTATTATAAATTATGTGTAAATCTCTTCAGAAAATGTCCCTCGAAACATAAAACGAGGTCAAATGTTCATTGAGACAAAGGATTTGTGCATATAATTATAGAGTAGCTCCTGGCAATTCTAGCGATAGAATAGCTACGAGCGATCAATCATCGCCAGTGTAATAATGACAAAAAATATTTCGCCCCTTTTCCACAAAGTCGTGCTGATGTTAATGCTCGTACATTTTTTAGCGCATTTTCTCATTTGTGGTCAAAATGCACTATTGTGCTCGCCATGTCCGTCCGTCTGTCTGTCTGTCTGTCTGTCCGTCTGTCTGCCTGTCTGTCTGTCCGTCTGTCTGTCCGTCCGTGACTTCATGTTTTCGTCGACGAGAAAATGCGCTCTTTGTCACTCACTGCAGTGAGTACTGAGTTATATTTTTTCTGACTTGGAACTCACGGTGTCGAGGTAGCCGGCGAGACGCAGGATGGAGCTGGGGCCGTAATGGGTGCTGCCGTGCTGGGGGTCTTCATCCCACCACCCCCACGGGTCGAAGGGCAACGCGTCCCTGATTAGTTTAATGATCATATTAATTTTCTTCTGGTCCATTTTATACGACACGAAAGTGCGTTTTCTAAATGTAAATTTTTTAGCACATTATACAACTAAGGTATCTTCCTAAACGCAAACATAACAATTAAGAAGTATTATTCAACATAATGTATTTCTGGTCATAGTTCCCAATTAAAAACGTGCTCTGTGCATCATATGATTTTGGGTTAAGGCTGAAGTAGCTTCAGCCTGAACTTTCACGTGAGACTAGCCACGCCCATGTTATTTCACTTCACCGTTTTTCCAAAAATTTTCACCAGTTTGTCGACTGACTACATAGAAGCAGAAATGAAATCTCTACACTCGGCTAAAAGTTATTCTGGGTCTGCTTAACCACCCGATAGAAATTTGTTTCTGGTCATTAACTTTTTTCTCACTATATATAGTTTGCTTGAGTGTATGTATAGGGTTGGCCGAGCCGAGTCATACCGATTATATAAGCTGATCAGAGACTGCCCTTCAAACCCGAAGCCGATGAACAGATTTCTATCGGGTGGTTAAGCAGACCCAGAATAACTTTTAGCAGAGTGTAGAGATTTAATTTCCGCTTTTATGCAGTCAGTCGACGAACTGGCGAAAATTTTTTGGAAAGACGGTGAAGTGAAATAACAAGTGGGGGGGGGTTAGTCTAACGTGGAAGTTAAGGCTGAAGCTACTTCAGCCTTAACCCCAAATCAAATAATGCACAGAGCAAGTCTTTAATTGGGGACAATGAGCTGATTTACGTGCTCCCTGAGTCTTAGGCGGCACCTATTTCTGAGTCGCGCCCGCTTCTAAATTTTGTCATGGTAAATGGCTAACTCCCGTCTCTACAACACATCGAAACATAAGTACAACTAAAACCTACGTTACATTAATGAATGAGGTTTTACATTATAAAGACGATGTACACTACTCACACGCTACAGCCACCGTCCTTGTAGTGCACAAAACGCCTCTGAGCGTCGTAGTAGTAGAAGGTCTCAGACGTCGTATCGGACCTCACGTGCACTGCCGCTACGTTCACGGCCCAGTCTACGTCATCGTGCTTCTGGCGAGTCTCGTGAACGTAGTACGTCTTTTTCTGTGTGAGAAATTTATTTTTTTTTTCACAAAGTGATTTCCATAAACTGACTTTGAATTATAATTTATTTTCATATTTTATATATGAAAAGTATAATTATTTTTGTAAGCATTTATGACGATATTTTTCTCTTATGGAATAAAAACGCTAACGAATCTCGGAAATATAAATTCTTAAAATTTCTAAAATTCCAATATTGCTGCCAGTTTCTAAATATTACTCACTTTTCCTAATGCAATAATATCGACAAATACTTCAAATTTTTAATCAATCAGCTGTTTCAAATTTGACATTATATGGCTTCTGAAAAGTCTACAGACCCTGATAATAATTTAGAATCGATAAAATACAAAAAATGGGGGACAATTTTTTTAGACAGCAAATAACCCGCTGTATAATAATTACAAAATTCAAGCAAATAAAAGGTAGTAAAATCATAGCACAAATCTCCGTAGATTTCTACCCGATTAAACTTTGATAGATGGCTGCGAAATTGGCAATAGCTTCTCGATTATAAAATTTTCCAACTATGCTCTGACACAAATTGATTTTTAAATAGAAAAAAACTTTTCATATAATTATTTTATAGCTGTAACGCAATCCGCATTTTTATAAATCCGATGCATTAATTTATCAAAGCTTTGAGTGTTTGAATTTCCGTCAAAAGTAGTTATGTTGAAAGTTGTTATCTCGTTAACAAAATCTAAAATAGCCCAAGCTGAGAATTATTTTAGATTTTCATTCTATCATGCAAAGACAATGTAATTCGCTTCATTGAAAGACAATTAGTTTTTGAGTATGCAAGCTGTTCTTGATGAGGTGTGATAACTAATTTAGTTTAATAGCTTAATTAAAATCAAATTAAAAGAATATATCATGTAGAACGATGGAATTTTTGCGATTATTTATTCAATTATATAAAATCAAGGTGTGTTAAATGTCATAAACAGATAGTTATGATTCTTCTTTGCGACTGGGGATATGATATGATACTATTTGGGTGTGATAATGTTTTCCAATACAAAATATTATTTAATATACGAAATATTATTTAATTCATCGTGATTTTGTATTAATTTTCGTGATGTTTTCTTCATTACTCACGGCGATAAGGTCCGTCATCTCGATGATGAATGTGTATGAAGCGTCCAGAGCTGCTGTGTAGTTTGGTGTAGGTGTCTTCTCGCCCAGCGTACAGATCTCGGACTGGACTGTTGGTATCCAGCCTAGCACAATACAGCCCAGCAACAACATGCCCAGCTCGACTATTGCACTCTTATATTTCTTTCGGCTCATCTTTTCTTAGATTTTTTTCCGTGTAACCAAGCTACAGTTTTTTCTTATAAAACTCTTTTTATACAGAGCAGAAGTACCAGTGAATGCTCTGATGAAAATTTCTAATCTTACAAAATGTATCTATCAAACTTAGGCAAGGCTTAAAATACAAAGAAATGCAATGGAATTTATTGACTAATTGGTGAATCTTAAATATATTGTAGAAATTGTCGTGCTTTGAAGCTCTTTGAAATAAAATGCATGATACAGACTATCAGCTTGTGTGGTCTTCAGATCTACCAGTTTATTGGATTAGAGCTTCTTATATGGCTGCATTTTCTCAAAACTTGGTTTTGCAGACTAAAAATATTAAAAATTTATTCATTATTCATGTTGTACACTTTCAAGCGTTTAAAAATGTAAAAATAAATTTGCTTACAACTATTATGCAAGTCCATCTCTTATAAAAATCTGTTATTACCCTTTACTTGGTTTAACCCAATTTATTATTTTTTCTTTTATATATCGATATCCAACATCTTTTAAAATTTTTAATTTATTTATTAGAAATTATGCTTCATTCCTACTTCTCCACGCGCGTATTGCAAAAGAACGCCTCGAACTAGCCATCGCCCGCGCTGCACTGTAGCCGCCTGCTAATTAAAGCTAAGTTCTGTTATTGTTTTCTGTGATGGGATGGAACTGATAGAGCGCAATGCGACGTACAACAGCAATCACTTTTGCATGTGTTTCATAAGAGCGTAATGGAGAAGAATTCAGATATTTATTCTAATTAACACTCGGATTAATTTTTCCCGCGATCTGGCTACGATAGATTTGTTAAGTGATAAATTGCCGCGAACTGCTCAAAATGCAATTCAATTATATTTTAAATTCAAGCATCGTTTACTTTGTTTTTAATAACTTGGAAATCATCTAGCTCAAAATTTTAGCTATATATCATCTAGCATCTAAACATTATTTATCATATATATAGTATCTAAACTTCGTTAAAATTGCCTACCTCTTCGCACTAACTTATTCGAAGTATATACATAAAATATCTCTCAATATCATATAGGCAGATTTAATAACTTTATTAATTCCCTTCCACGCGCATGCAATGATGAGACTAGACAACACTGTAAGGTAATCTCTATTGTTACGAAAAAAAGCGATTGTGACTGTACTTATGTTTTGTTATGTATTATATATTAAAACTGTATTTGTTATAAATCAATTATTTTAGAACAAATAGTTTTTTCAGCAATGTATTTAATTCTTGATAAAAACGTTAAGATTGAAATAAATCTTGTCAGCGCAACTTATGCCACTGCAATATACCCAAATTCTCTGTGCAGTTTAGAACGGTTAACAATAGCCACGAAAACATCGTTCATTTTTGCCGTGATATGAAGGAGGAGGATGCGTGGTCAACATCGGATTAGATATCTGCTTTTCTGTTGCACAGAACAAAGCTAATATTATCGAGCTGAAATGCTATCGAGCTGAAAACATTATTCACGATAGCATTGATTGAATACTATGCCGATATGATGGTGCAGCCAAAAACCTGTTGTTGCTCTCTGCACAACGTTAGCAGAACGTTGCCCAAGACCGGTATGCTACAATGAATACAATGAAAGTAGCTGGACTTTATTTCTTAGACTTTCACGGTTCTTTCACGTTCTTTAGTTTACGGTTCTTTCAAATTTTGACTCACAACTGTCACATGTACACCCTTGTTGCCGGAACATTCAATCGTTCGAAGTGACTTTACTTAAGGGGAGAGACCTAGAAAAATAAGAGCTCTCAGTACGTGTTGCAACTACTAATGTTTTGATAAATTCTTCATTCCTCGTCAACTGGCATATAGGCACCCGCAGCCAGACACCCGCAGCCAGACACCCGCAGCCACACACCCGCAGCCACACACCCGCAGCCAGACACCCGCAGCCAGACACCCGCAGCCAGACACCCGCAGCCACACACCCGCAGCCATACACCCGCAGCCAGACACCCACAGCCAGACACCCGCAGCCACACACCCGCAGCCAGACACCCGCAGCCAGACACCCACAGCCAGACACCCGCAGCCAGACACCCGCTATACTCAGTGCGTCACATCATGGGAGAGCAAAAAACATTTATTTGTTCACTTAAGAGCATCAGGATGAGAATAAATACCATCATGTAAGTAGTCAAGGTTTATTTATTTAAAGATTAGCATCACAGAACCACATTTCAACAAGAGCACAAAAAAGGCACGCAGTTTACAGCACATTACACTTAAATGCAATTATGACCATGGTTTTCGTAATTCGGATAGCGTAATTTACGGAAGTTTTGCGCCGGCTCGACATAAGGGTTTCAAATTTCTCAGGAATATGTCGTTATTCGGTGGAACTGAGGGACAATAAATCGATATATAATCATTGACTTGTGTTGACTTTCACGCTCGTAAATCACCTGGACCTATACTTTCAAAAAAAATTAAGAGATCGTAAGTTCATCAGCCAATCATTGACGGCCTTTCAAGCAAAATCCACCAATCATAGACAAGAAAATTGAGTGCAAGTACTTACGTTCACTTAGCGAATTTTGAAAGTATGGCCCTATATAGTGTTCAATGGCGTCATTAAGAAGTGATTCCTCTCATGGCCATATCCACGATCTCGTAGTTAACAATTGCATGGTAATCAATCGACAAAATTGCATAATGGCGCTTTTAAATTATGCACCGTGTTTTATATCCAACAATTGTGTAGCCTCCACTGGAAAAAATTATAACATATAATATCACTGCTGCTAATGCGTACAGGAGCATTGTCATTGAAAACGCGAACTTGCACTTTGGTTCGTACTTGGATAGCACGAGTTATACATTACATTACACTATTCCAAGATGCCAAGAACACCTCACTAATACCACAGTTTATCGAGAAAATAATTATACAAAATATATACAACGGTAGAAAACAGATTAAATGTTATAAAAAGGTTCCATATCTGCTCCTTCAAATGAGACCATCAAGCCTAATGGCCATTGCCAATCGCTTCACATTTCGGCATATCTAAACTTATCTGAAATGCCTAGCTATGATCATTTGATCAACTCTATTATTTTTATTGAAAACTTTGAAATGTTTAAAGTCTCGCCTTTACAACGAAGAAACATTTGTTATGCATGACTCAAACAACCGTTTATACTAAAGAAATAAAAATTCTTTCACACTATAGCGAAGCTAGAAAAAGAATCGCCAGTCATATGCATTCAGTCTGTCAAATCTCCGTTATTCGCACGAGCTTCAGCATCTTTGGCTAACGTCTAGTGAGAAATGAATTATTTTCGCAGACGTTACAAAAATTGCTAATTTGGAGCAACACTCAAGAGCGCCGTGCGACACTCAAGAGCGTCGTGCAACACTCAAGAGCGTCGTGCAACACTCAAGTGCGCCGTGCGACACTCAAGAGCGTCGTGCAACACTCAAGAGCGCCGTGCAACACTCAAGGGCGTCGTGCAACACTCAAGAGCGTCGTGTAACACTCAAGAGCGTCGTGCAACACTCAAGAGCGTCGTGTAACACTCAAGAGCGTCGTGCAACACTTGTCGTGCAACACTCATGAGCGTCGTGCAACACTCAAGAGCGTCGTGCAACACTCAAGAGCGTCGTGCAACACTCAAGAGCGTCGTGCAACACTCAAGAGCGTCGTGCAACACTCAAGACCGTCGTGCAACACTCAAGACCGTCGTGCAACACTCAAGAGCGTCGTGTAACACTCATGAGCGAAATTTTCATTTGTTCGAATATTGTGATTGCCGAAACAAATAAATCATTCATATTTATCCTTGCACAGAGTGCCAGCTACAAAATATATTCATTTAACAAGGTGCTTGTTCTGCATTTTAAGGTTAAAACAAATTCCGCATAAAATGCTTCGTTCCATTAAAACTTCTTTTATGAAATGAGAACCCGGCTATTGCACTCATTCTCATGTTGGGTTACAAAGTAACAAGGTTAAATCGTGCACACAGAAATAACCTGGACCTATACTTTCAAAAAAAGTTAAGAGATCGTAAGTTCATCAGCCAATCATTGACGGCCTTTCGAGCAAAACCCACCAATCATAGACAAGAAAATTGAGCGTAAGTACTTACGCTCACTTAGCGAATTTTGAAAGTATGGCGCCTGAACGATGCTATACTCCATCATATTCAAACGTTTATGGACACCAACACATCAGTCGAACAAAGATATTTTGTGTTTATAACAAGCAAAAAGTTTAGAATTGACGAGTATCAGTTATACAGGAGTGGACTTTGATTACAAGCTCTGCCCGTCATTACTGGAGCTATAGGAAGATCGAACGTGATCTAAATTATGTGCCTAGAGAATGTGGACACTTTCAGAAATAAACGTTGAGGTCTGTTCTTCAAACAATGATAAATCAAATTCAAATTTTTAACATTCAAATACCACGGCGCAAATTAAAGTTAGATGATCCGGGAAAGAACTGCGCGAATTGCAAAAAAGAAAAAATTAATGAATAATAATTATCCAAATTTCAAAGAATAAAAGGAATACACCCGGAATATTGAAGTGATAATGAATCAGAAACTAACTACGAGAAAATAAAAACAAATCGTTATGGGATTTTTGAATAGATTTCTCTTGGAATCTTGAACCATCTCCATCTGCGAAGAAAGCAGAGCTGCTACCCGCGCATAAACTTCTCAACTTAAACAAACTATAAACTTTCCGGCAAACTTAAACATGAAACATAAACCGCATGGTTTGTTTAACCGGCCAAGTTTATCTAAAACTAACATTCAGTCAAATTCATCCATGTTGCTGCCTCGTTATTCAGAGTGCAAGAGCATAAAAACAGACTAGACGAAGCTATGCAGGAGCATATGTTCAGTCCTAAAATGCCTAGCAAATTACGGACCAGGCAATAAGTCCAGCAGCTATCTCAATCAATCGTCAGCTATAGAAAGATCGGGTTCCAAAGGCCGGATCCCTTGTGAATCAAGTCACGAAAAGTTCAAGAATCAGCAACAGGCCATGGGCCTATGTCTTCAACGCCGACAGCCCGACACTTCTATTCTATTCTATTCTATTCTATAAATCTTTCGTAGAAAACTTGAAAAATATCATCACTGTGTTTCTAGTGGCATATGCATTTAGTTATCACACATTTCAGCCGTTGGCTATTGTCAAAGGCACACACAAAGCGACTCGTATATTCTGCATTATTCAATAGTTAAAATTTTCACGTGAGGATATTTTTAAAATAATTTATCTGAAATTAATTCAGGAAAAGCTTTCAAGAATTCATCAGGCAAAAAAGCTCATCGTCTCTCATCACTCAATATATCAAGCGGAAAGTCCAAACCATCATCTACAGTCTACCATTGGAGACAATATATATAATGCACCATCAGAGACGATATATAATGCCCCATCAGAGACGATATATAATGCACCATCAGAGACGATATATAATGCACCATGAAATATAAAATGCACCATCAGAGACTATACCTATAGTCTTCCATGGGAGACACGATCAAACTTGATTAGAGTGTTTCAAAATAGCACCACACTAAAATTATTTTATTATAAAATTGTATTGCCAAGCCAAGGTTTCATCATGGCATGACGGGATTTAAAAATTATAAAAGGCAACTGATCAATTTCGAACCCTATCAAGCCTATTTCTTTCATCAATGTTCTAATTTGAGCAAAAACATTCACTTACCAACAAACTGCTAACGTATCTCTTGCGACTATATAATGTCATAAAAAATTTTAATTCCGGTGCCGGAAGCCAGAAAATATTACAATAAAGCTACTTCTCGGTTCTTATAAAACCTACAATTACGAACCAAAACTTACCAAGCACCGTTTGCACAGAAGCCTTTTAATTAGTCCATCACCAGAGTTAGATTTAATAAATTTCTTTTATAAATGTTGATCAAATAAATAAAATCCTATAACTAGGAAAATACTTTCATGTTTTTTTTTAATTATTTATAACTAAACTTGAATGAATTGACATTCACAATGACGTTGAGGTGAGTTAAATCCTATTTATTGAGGCTGTCGTTGTGACAATTTCGCTACTTCAAGGCAGCAAATTTACGTCATGAGACTGCTGCTCAACTGAGACTGCTGCTCAACTGAGACTGCTGCTCAACTGAGACTGCTGCTCAACTATGACTGCTGCTCCACTGAGACTGCTGCCAGTCAGGCAAGTCTCATGAGTTAGTCAAATTCTGCCAATTTTTTGTCTCGTATCAGAAAATTTAAACGAGAAACATGTCTGCATGTTCTGCTATCTTACGTGAATAGTAAGAAATTTTTTTAGCGACTTCAACAAATAATAAGAAATTTATTTCGATGTCAAAATAACCCTTGTCATTAAAAGCGGTACTAAAGATATTATTTTTTAAGCAGCTTTCAGAAAAAAGTGATTGCTGTAAATGCATTCTAAGAACTTCTCTTTAGAACTGACGGCACAGTAACAGCAGAACTATGAGGCACCAGAACATAGCACCAGAACTATGAGGCACTGAGGGAAGAAGGCACTTAGCGTATCTACCATGAGATGTAATAGGCACTCCCATGGTAGCATTAGTTCAGACATGAGCACACATAAAAATGGCTACTAACACCGTATAGCTGGATCACCAACACCGTATAGCTGGATCACCAACACCGTACAGCTGGATCACCAGCACCGTATAGCTGAATCACCAGCACCGTATAGCTGGATCACCACCACCGTATAGCTGGATCACCAGCACCGTACAGCTGGATCACCAGCACCGTACAGCTGGATCACCAGCACCGTACAGCTGGATCACCAGCACCGTACAGCTGGATCACCAACACCGTACAGCTGGAACACCAGCACCGTACAGCTGGAACACCAGCACCGTATAGCTGGATCACCAGCACCGTATAGCTGGATCACCAACACCGTATAGCTGGATCACCAGCACCGTACAGCTGGATCACCAACACAGTATAGCTGGATCACCAACACCGTATAGCTGGATCACCACGGGGAGCCGAGAGGGGGCGCCACGGGACAGGCCGGCAGTCCAGGGAAGATGCCCGCACACTCGCGTGCGATGGCCTGCGTCAGCGTAGCGAGGTAGCGGTGCGCCGTCTGGTCGATCTGAAGAAATTTGCAGTTCTTAATAGCAGTTTCTGGCAATATTATCAATTTATTTACAGCAGAATATCCTTTTTTCAATTTAATTCCTGTTGATAAATACACCACTTCCCCTTCCCCTTCTCCCCTTTTTAAAACGAGTCTAGCGAAGCCAGCTGTAACGCGTTAATTTCTTTTTAAATTACTTTATTACTTCAAACGATTTCATCATGCAGAAATTTTTTATATTGTTCGGGCAAAATCAATGGCTAATGCATGTTTTGGGATCGAACCAATTTATTATTTGAAAAATTATGCCACCTCAATCTTTAGCTCAATTATCCTGTTATCTTCATTATTATGAATTTGCCGACTCATCCTTCAACATATTTACCCACAATAAATTTATAGATACGAATGAGAAACAGAGACGTTTACAATACACACGTAGAACGAAAAATTTTAATCAAGATCCTAAATTTTTATTGTGATTTGATTTTCTTTTCCTAAATTCTACGAATAGAAAGTGATCAATGTTTTATCTCTCAATGGTAAAAAACAATATCACAAGGAATATAAAAACAAAGAAAACGCCAAGCAAATTCACCATATCGATATTGGAAACGTTTCGGAGTCCAGCTCCTTCATCAGTCCGACAATCCAAAAATGATGAACTGATGATGGAGCTGGGCTCCGAAAAGTTTTCAATATCAATATGGTGAATTTGCTTGGAGTTTCCTTTGCTTTTTTTTTACTGCAGATCGATAATATAAGTACTTAAAAACAAAGTATGAGTTAACTACGCTTATGAGTTAAACTAGCAATATTCGCTCACGTGGATGAGAACGACAACTTCTCTGAGTATTAAATGGAAAATAACATTAATTTTAGTATCTACGAATAGAAATTGATTAATGCCTTATCTCTCAATTATAAAAGAAAACACTGCGCTTATGAGTTCAACTGGCATTATTTGCTCACGTGGCTAGGCAGCTTGAGGCAGTCCCAGCCGCCGAACTCGCATATCCTGTAGTGGTGCGTGAGACCGTCGGTCTCTGGCACGTTTAGAGATGTCCGTCCGCCTACAAGCATGTGAAACAGGGACACTAACACACGTACACGTACACGTACACACAAGAAATGTTTGTTAATGCACAAACAGACGAAAATTAGTAAAAATGACGCATAATTGGCGAGCATTAAACTATGCTGGGACATGTACAGTCGGGAATAGCATTAGCAAAATAGATCAAACGAGCTTGACAAGTTCGGTTAAATCAATTGTCAAGCTAAATAAAAATAATTTTCGATTAAAGTCCTACAGGCAGAAAGTTTTTCGATTTACATGCAATGGCAGATATAGTATAGTATAGTATCTTCGGCATTGAAGAATAGGCCTGAATAGGCCTGTCGCCGATTATTGTACTTTTCTTGACTAGACTGGCCTTTTGATCAAATCTTTTCAACGGACGGTAGGTTCAAAATCATTTCTAGATTTCAGTTGTTCCGTAGGATACGAGGCATTTCAAGACTAAACATATGCTGCTGCATGGCCTTGTCTAGTCTGTTCTTGAACGCGTTCATACTCGGAGCGTCAACAATATCTTCAGAGAGGCTGTTCCACATGTCAGTGACTCGAAGTGGGACCTTGTATAAACCATGAGTATACTTGTATACTTCAATGAGGTCACCACGCAGGCGACGATAACGGAGACTGGGAAGCTTCACAATGAACTAAAATGAACTAAAAATGTGGTTGAGATTAGTTTACTATATTATTACATAGAGGCCTAATGTAGGTTGATTTGAAGTTGTCCGGGAGAACACCGTCAGTGAGGCAGCGGTTGAAAAGTTCGATCAGAAAACATGCTTGGGTTACAGTATTCCCCTTAAGTAACGACGTCGGCAGCGGATCGCTGGCACACTGCTGGTTAGTTAGTTAGTTTAGTGGCCCTATGATTACTAGCGCTTCAGCTGCTAAGCTATCTCGCGCCGAATGTCACGTTGGGCATTATGGGCTAAGAACATATTGCATCACATGTATTCAGCGTTGACCAGATCATATACCTGTCTCTTATACACATCTNTGCACATTTTTTGGCTCACTGCCCAGAGAATGGACTAGTTGCCGGTTGGCCTGGACTACGTCAATGGCAGCCAGGTTCTCACCAGTCGTCGATGCGACGCGGAAGAAATGAGGGTAGTCTTGGATGCGGGCTTCTAGGGTTGGCTGCATTTGCTTCCATGTCCCTTGGTGTCTAGATTTCTTGTTTTGTCCGGCTCTGCCAGGCCCAGGGGCCTGGGGGCGTGGGACAAATGGCTCCAGCGTCGAGATTAACGTGGAGGTAGGTGAGGTCAAGGTTGGTTCCGTAGTGAGGGTCCGGGTCGTTTCCGTTGTCGGGGTATCAGGTACGAGAGGCGCATTCAAAGAGGTCATTTTCCAGGTCCGGGTTGTTTGGTTCGTCCGACGCGCTGAGCAGGCACCCGTGTATCTGCCTCCAACAAGGGGATCCCTGGTGTCAAGCACACGTAGTCTTGACGGGAACACTCGTACGCTCGGATGTAGCTTTGGTTGTCGTGGGCGCAGCAGGTTGTGCGCTTGACTAACGTTGCAAGACGGGCGCCACTCCATCTGCGCGGTGTTTAAGCAGCCCCCCGCCTGCCCAGGAGTCCCGCAGCTAACCCTTGCCACGCATGACTATTGAAGCTAGCGGGTCGGGTCTAGGTCCCCGCCAGGGTTCGTCAATCCAGCGAAAGGTCTTTGCGTATCCGTAAGAGAGCCAGGTCGTTACCAGAAGGGCGTTTTGCCATCTCTGTTAGTCTGGACTCTCCACCCGAGCCACTCGGCCATGATTGCATCTGAGACCGCACAGCCTCGGGTCTCATTGAGACACGCAAGCCCCCCCCCCCACGACAAGGGCGAGATGGCACGGGGGGGACACTGCTGGTTAGGCAGCGCGGTCACTGCAGCAATGACATCGTCAACTGAGACGCGAGTGAATTCTTGGAGCAGCAGTCGAATGGGCACGGGGCAAATGTTGCCGGCGGAGCATCGTCTGACGACGCTCGCACAGCAGAAATTTGCTTTCAAAAACCGCGTGTAATTCCTCCACGCTTACGTCACCCGAAGGCATCTGTATGACCTCTTCCCATAAATTTATCCAGCGAACGCCACGGCGCTCGAGGATCGCTGCGTTGCGCGTCGTCTCTATGGTGCCAAAATGACTTTTAGATCGAAGAAAGTCGACATAATTGCACTGCGGATCTCGCTAGGTGAAGACCACAGCAGCAGCAGAAGGATTAGTCTGTTCGTCCGGTAATTCTGGTCTGTTAATTCTGGATTGGTCTGTTTGTCCGGTAGACAGCCCGTCCGGTAGACAGCAGTCGAATCCCCCCGCTTCGAGACTCAACATTCATCATCGAACCATGGGTCGGAGACTCGTTGGGGTACCCGAACTGTGCGTGCAGGCATGAGGTCATCGAATGCATAGGTAAGCTAGGTATAGTTGCACGAGGTCGTTGACTGATAGTGACAGCCCGACATAGTCTGGACTATTGCAGTTTTTTGCGCAAGACATCGCCGGCGAGGCAGTGCGACGGACGACAGGAAACAGTTTTTTACGCTGGCACCGGACGCACACACGGCACCGTCCAGTGAAGTGGTCGATGGTTTGATATTGCGATCTCGAGGATGTCGACTGACTGAATTTGAAGGTCAGCGCGCGTGATGACAACGTCCAGCAGTCCGCCCATGTCGTGCGTCGGTACGGTCACGTGACAAACCATGCCACGTGTGACCAGCAGGTCGTTCAGCTGAAGAGCCGATGGGTAGTCGATGCGATCCAGTCAAACGTTTAAATCGCAGGTGATAAGGACATGACCGGGCCAATCCACAGGTCTAGTGAAGAAATATCGCTCAATTCGATGAAAAAATCGCGCTCCACAGCAACCGATCCGGAACGATAGGTGGTGACTGCAAGGCCCTTAAACGAGGCCCAAGTGACCCCAGCACATAACAGCTCAAAGGTGGTGGGTCAGACGCCGATGTCAAGAATGGTAAAATGCTGCCCCAGCTGGCGAGGGTAGCTCCTCCAATGTAATTCGTCGCCAGGGTGTCGGATTGCATGCTGAGCCGCGTGCGATCGACTACATGGAGTCCTTCAGCGCAAAGACGCGCGAAGCAAACCGAGTCAGCGTCGTGCCAGGTCTCAGTCAGAAAGACGACATGATTATGTGAAATAGCATTGCACCTTCTGTACTTCTGTGAATCATCCTGACCCAGTTAGTTCCGACAATAAAATGTTAGTAATATAGGTGCAGAAAGAGTGTCACTATTTGGACAGTGTGACCCATACATTATTCTAAGCGTAAGGTGTCATGAAGAAGTCTCACCAGGCTGCAAGTACTCCCACACGACGTGGTTGCCGACCTCCACGCTCTTGTCAGGACGGGCGAGATACTTGGACCTCACGCCGTACTTGTGGGGCTGGTCTAATCGCCGCGTCTTGGTCTGTGTCAGCAGGTAAGGCATGTGGCTGTCAGCACCGAATAGATTTACCTGAAGGTTCTCTTCGGTGTTGAGGTGGTCGTGGAGTGCCGTGTCGTTCTCCCAATATAGGTAGAAAAATACGTTCTGTGGAGACAAGGGATTTTAAGTGGTATTGAGATGATCGCGCTGGGCAGTGTCCTCCTCCCAGTACAAGTGGAAAAAATGTAACTCAGTACTCACTGCAGTGAGTGACAGAAAGCGCATTTTCTCGTCGACGAAAACTTGAGGTCACGGACAGACGGACGGACAGACGGACATGGCGAGCACAATAGTGCATTTTTTCTATAAATGAGAAAATGCGCTAAAAAGCATTTTGTGCAAACATGATGTTTTCAATCATCTCGCGAACAATCGTGTGGTATTATAATTGATAACTTGCGGTTTTCGTTACAATAATATTTAGCGAATTACTCCAAATACAAAGCATTATGACTTTATTATTTACATTTCACGCACCAAATTCTAAACGTCTTTAATTAAGAGATGAAATATTGTATTCCGTGCTCTGAGTAGTAAACAGATTATACACTAAAAAATTAACTAGGACATGGAAGATTGAGAATTCAATTGTTTATAGATATAATTTAAGATAAGATAATACTTGTATTATGAATGCACCTTGAAAACGTAGCCATGATAGGTGGTACCGAGTCTGGCGACGAGCTCGAGAAGGTTCTCGTCCTTACGGGGGATGAGGAACTCGTCGATGTCAACCATCGCCGCCAGGGGGAAGTGGCCGACCGAGCGGAGGTTACAGTCGTTGAGACTGGCGAATATTCCTTCTGTTCGAATATCCTGGAAAAATAATTCGACCTATAATATACTTATTTCTATATTACTCCTTTCCTGAAGTGTTTACCCAGTTTCTTTGGCGAAGTGATTCAAGTTCGGTAATAGAATTTGTATCGTATCCGCTCGAACGTTGACAGTTTTAATTACTTTAATAGACATGCATATCTGATTAACAGGTGAAAGCTTTAGCCTTCATCAACTTATTAATATGAATTTTGAATGAAACTCTGAAAGTGAAAGTAGAACTTTGAAACATTCAGAAAGTGAAAAGAGAATAGCATTCACACTAAAAAAAATGGCGCTTTAATAATAAAACTTTTTAAACATAATGATAAAATTTACTTCGACATAAACTACATTCAATCTGAACGAGAGCCAAAAAGAGAGGAACGATGCAAGTGTTCACAGGTCTAGACTCGACATTGAAACGCATGCATTCATGGCTCTCATATAAAGCTTATTGCTTTTTTAAATAGTGATTGATGAAAACCGAAAATTCTTCGAGTACGGGACCAGCTTAATGAAATACATTGTTGCTATTTACTATGAATACAGACTACAAAATGGCTTTGTATACGTAAGCCGTTGTCACGAATGGATCAATACATCACATGCACAACCAACCTTTTTTGTTTCCACAGGTAGACTCCAAGGTAGAACTTCAACACTGCCTTGTCGCATGTAGTATCTTAGTACAGCCTCGACATCTGGTCCAACTGTGTGATTATAAAATATAAAATGATCGGCACCTAATAGCTTATACATTTCTATAAATTCAACAAGCCATAGAGCCCGATTGAACTCGTAGTGAAACGGCTTGACACACACGCTCATCTCGCCGATCTTCTTTCTGGACTCCATATTTTCGACGGGCACTGAGTTTGCCAGCAGTGCAGGACCAGCAGATTGTGTGGTGACTCCTACTCTTATGACCGGGTCGTCGGGTCCAAAGGATGGTAGTGGGCAGAGGATGAAGCCAGCTGAGTAAGGTAGTGCCCAGTTCTCTTTGATGAGCTTGATGGAACCGCTCTTGACTTCTCGCTTGTTAGATGCCGACCAATACGTACACTCGGGCGCCTGATTAATTATCATTGACAGTTAGAAATTTAATTCACATTTTAAGGATGTTTCTTGGGCGATACACAGATGTAAAACGAACGAAAAAAAATTTCATTTCACTACTACCTGAAACTTGTCACTAATATTTAATTTTTCTGCCATCATTATATAATAAAGGAATTACCTTTAAACAATACCTCTCTTGAGTCTTAACACGGTGACTACGTATTGGTATAACATATGCGTACCACGAAATGTATTTCTCCAGGAGGTAGTGGTACATAATTCAGGTTGCCTAAAATCGGCCAAATCCGAGAACAAAAAATAATTTAATAATTCGATAATTCAATGTATACTAGTTTATTTGTAGGCTCCGCTATAAAAATTCCATTTATTTTCTTTTTGCAGTATTTAAAATTTAATGAGGAAGTACCCCTATCATAAATTTTAGCCGGCCAACGCAATTGAGAAAAACTAAATCACGGATTTTTTCCGGAAAAAATGACCGTCTGGCAACCCTGCTTAAAAAAGTACAAAAAAATGAAATAATAGTACAAGATGAAGCAATCGTAGTCAACGTATTAATGCTATTCTCATCACGACCATCAATTCTCTGGATCAAGTAGCACGAACCTTTGTCTTGCGCTTGATGATAGCGATGAGACGTATTGTTGGTTGGGCTTTTCTCTTGTCGATGTAGCCCGAGTAAAGGTAAATAGCATTTTTTCCCGGCTCAGCCTGAAAATTATTCGTATTTTTATTTAAATTATCTTGCGTAGTGATGGCAGAAGGAATCCCGAACCGTTGAGAAATAACGTGAATACCAAAATTTTCTAAAGGTTAAATTCAAAATATAATCCAAATAACTTTTAAATAGTTGTTACCTGTTATAAAAACAATTGACATTCGATCCAATGAAATGCATAATTTCGTTCTGTGCGAGAGTTTAAATGCTCCACGAAAATTTTTATTTTTTTCAATATATTGTTTGTCTTCAATAAATGAGGCACCTACACCTCAAAAAAGTATACATTTTGAGACAGATAAGTATATTATAGTTCAATGCTTTAATTCAGAAACGGCTTTCAGAAGACAAAAAAATACAAATAAAATAAAGTGAATGAAATCGGCAGTATTAGTAAATAAAATGTCAGTACCGGTACCAATAAATTTTTTCAGTGCTACTAAAATATTATGTTGGCTGACACTTCTATTCTATTCTATTCTATTCTATTCTATTCTATTCTATTCTATTCTATTCTATTCT